ACTCCCCTGTCGCCCAGCGCTGCATTTGCTCATATTCTGCTTGCTGTAACCGAGTAATTAATAAATTCTAATTAGTACTCTGATCCATTGTGGTCTAAATTTATAACAGGACCACAGAAGTGCTCAGCTGCTGTTCAGCTGCACTTTTGGTTATTCACCACAACCGAAGCTCTAGGCTCCTGTCCAGATGCCAGAGCTGAACAGAACAGCTGGAGCAGGATTTCCTGTAATACACTGGGAAGAATTCATCACTCCAGAGACCAGCAGGAGCTCTGACAAAATCCCAAAGCCCTGGAAACACTGAGTTCTGAGTTATCAGCCCTTCTGAGCCCCTGGAGACTGAGATGGCTGGAAGGAGAAGAAGCAGCAGCAGCTGAGCTGGGATTGCACAGACTGCAGGGGGAATGCACTGCTGGGAGCTGATTTACAACCCCCTGCAGAGGCTGTGGCCCTGCACAGTGCACAGTGGTGAGCTGCACACATCCTCTTGTCCTACAGTGCTCTAACACACACGGACACACGTGTGACTGGACAGGGCAACACATCCAGGCAAACCTAAACCCACAAGTCTGCCACACGGGGAGAAAAAGCTGCTCAGAGAGAAAGGAGGTTCTTCAATCAAGGGCTGAGAAACGGAGGAAGGAGGGGCCTTTGAGGCTGTCAGCGACTGATAAGGAAAATACTGTCAGGGTCTCAGATTTATGCCATACTGGCACCAACTGGTTTTGCAACAACAGTTAAATGTTGCACATGGTAACTGAGGCATAGAGCTCTGTGCTGCACCAATTCCTCAGGGAATTATTGCCTCCAAGGACTGCAAGAGGTTAGAACAGGCTGTTAGAGACAGGGGTCTGCCATGTGATGCTGAAACCAAAACGACAGGAAACTTGATGCCACATCCGAAGGTACCAACCAGGAATTTCAGATAGAAACTGAAACCACAGCTCACTAAATTGCCACACTTTGGTGAATACATAAAGAACAAAGAACAGTGAGAAACACAAGCAGGAAGAGTTGAAAGGTGAAGGAAGTCTGTGACTGATATGCCTTGTCCCTTTTATGCTTTCCAGTTGAAGTTATTTTCATTATATTGATAAAATACAATAACTGGACACAGAAATCAGATTTATAGAAAGGCAGCATAATAGGATGAGAAAAGGTGGATAGATGAGCTTTCTGCTGGATTTTAGTTAAAATGTCTAGTGTTTATTCATCTCTGCAATACAAAATGAAGCAGCACAAATTAATTCAAGAGAATACTAGATAAATATCCTCTCAAATCATCTGCAGTAAAATTAGAAAGAAATTATGAGAAATGTTTGGGGCATACAATTTATAATAATATATTTATTCTAAAATATCTCGTCATACTCAGGAAGGTTTGACTTTCAATACACGTACTCTGCTGTTCCCAGAACTACATGATGCATAGTGAGTACAGATAAAAGCAGATCAATAATGGTTTTCTTTCCTTGAAGCACCACTCAAAACCCTGCTCACAGGCCTCTTTTCTGCTGGTGATTCAAAAATCACAGAATGACTGAGGTTGTGAGGAAGTTCTGGAGACCCTCTGGTCCAAACCCCTGCCAAGCAGGAGCACCTACAGCAGGATGCCCA